TTACACCGGCGATCCAGGAGATGTTCGAGAGCGTGGCGGAGTGGATCACGAACAACGTCAAGGCGTCCGTGTGCGGCATCCCGCTGGAGGACCTCGACATGGTGGTGGCTTTCGCCAGCAACTCCACGACGATCCAGGAGATGTTCGAGCTCGTGGCGGACCACATCCCGAACAACATCAAGGCCTCCGAGTACGACATCCCGCCGAAGGATCTCAAGATGGTGGTGGCCTTCGCCAGCAACTCCACGACGATCCAGGAGGGGTTGAAGCTCGTGGCGGAGTGGATCCCGGACAACACCGAGGCGTCCGTGAGCGACATCCCGCTGAAGGACCTCAAGATGGCGGTGGCCTTCGCCAGCAACTCCACGGGAATCCAGGAGATGCCCGAGAGCATGGCGGAGTGGATCCCGAACAGCATCCAGGCGTCCTTCGCCGGCAACTCCACGGCGATCCAGGAGATGCTCAGGCTCGTGGCGGAGCGGATCCCGATCAACATCAAGGCCTCCTTGTACAACATCCCGCTGAAGGACCTCAAGATGGCGGCCGTCGACGACGACTCCACGGCGATCCAGGATATGTTCGAGAGCGTAGCGGAGTGGATCACGAACAACATCAAGGCGTTCCTGTGCGACATCCCGCTGAAGGACCTCGACATGGCGGTGGCTTTCGCCAGCACCTCCACGACGATCCGGGAGATGTTCGAGCTCGTGGCGGAGTGGATCCCGAACAACATCAAGGCCTCCGAGTACAACATCCCGCTGAAGGACCTCGACATGGCGGTGGCCCTCGCCAGCAACTCCACGACGATCCAGGAGATGTCCGAGCTCGTGGCGGACCAGGTCCCGAACAACATCAAGGCATCCATGTGCAACATCCCGCTGCAGGACCTCAAGATGGCGGCCGTCGACGACGACTCCACGGCGATCCAGGTGATGTTCGAGAGCGTTGCGGAGTGGATCACAAACAACATCAAGGCGTCCGTGTGCGACATCCCGCTGAAGGACCTCGACATGGTGGTGGCTTTCGCCAGCAACTCCACGACGATCCGGGAGATGTTCGAGCTCGCGGCGGAGTGGGCCCCGAACAACATCAAGGCCTCCGAGTACAACATCCCGCTGAAGGACCTCGACATGGCGGTGGCCCTCGCCAGCAACTCCACGACGATCCAGGAGATGTCCGAGCTCGTGGCGGACCAGCGGCCGTCGACGACGACTCCACGGCGATCCAGGTGATGTTCGAGAGCGTTGCGGAGTGGATCCCGAACAACATCCAAGCGTCCTACGCTGGCGATTCCACGACGACCCAGGAGATGTTCAAGAGCGTGGCGAAGCGAACCCCGAACAACATCAAGGCCTCCCTGTGCGACACCCCGCTGAAGGACCTTAAGATGGCAGCCTTGGCCTACGGCTACGCGGCGATCTAGGAGATGTTCGAGGGCGTGGCGGAGCGGATCCCGAACAACATCAAGGCGCCCTCCGCCGGCAACCCCACGACGATCCAGGAGACTTTCAGGCGCGTGGCGAAGCGAATCCCGAACAACATCAAGGCCTCCCTGCGCGACATCCCGGTGAAGGACCTCAGGATGGCGGCCTTCGCCGACAACTCCACGGCGACCCAGGAGATGCTCGAGCACATGGTGGAGTGGACCCTGATCAACATCAAAGCCTCCCCGTGCGACATCCCGCTGGAGGGGCTCGAGATGGCGGCCTTGGCCAACATTTCCACGGCAATCCAGGCGATGTTCAAGCACGTGGCGGAGTGGATCTCGAGCAACTCCACTGCGACCCGGGAGATGTCCGAGAGCGAGGCAGCGCGAATGCCCCGACAAACATCAAGGCCTCCGCGTGCGACATCACGCTGAGAAGACTCATCCCGTTTCCGTGGCTGCACTCCTTAGTGAACCATTGTGTTTTAGATGTTCGCTCGAGTGCGATCTCCACTTAGGCGCTCGTTTCCGCTGGGCGCGCCCGGACGCCAGGCAGGATATCAGAGTAGCACTGCACGACTGCAGCCTCCGTTGGGGCCGCGCGACTGGCATGCGGGCGCAAAGTCTTGCCATCCTGGCGCTTGATTCGGAGGGCGAGTCTGAGGGCTCAGACCTCTGAGCCCCCCCTTTTCCTTGTTTCCCTGGTGCAGTCTCACCCCCCGTGCGTGCCCCTCTGCTGGGCAAGCCGCGGCTTCGCCGCGAAGCAGGCATTACCGGTGCAGGCACTGCCGGCGCGCTTTCGCGCTGCTAGGGAGCGCGCGCGGAAAAAAAAAACTTGGCCGTTTAGTGGCTCTCAGCGCTGGCGCACGAATCGTGGCCAGCGTCTGCTGTCGGTGGCGGCAGCGTCGGCCGCGCGCCGAGCGGTTCAGCCTTCGGCGTCGTCGACGTACGTGCAGCGGGCTTTCCCAGCTGGTACACATCAGGTGTCGCTCCAGCCGTGGCATAGTGTGTTCGGCCTGGTCGCTTAGTGGCCCTCAGCGCTGGCTCACTCCAGCCTATGCCGCTCTGCACCGTGCACTGCCGTGCGACGCTGTGTTCTTGCATCGTAGCCAGCGTCTGCAGTCGTTGGTGGTGACGTGGGCCGCGCGCCGAGTGGTTCAGCCTTCGGCGTCGTTGGCCTTCGTCTATCACTACGTGCAGCTGGCTTTCCAGGCTGGTACACATCAGATGCAGCCTCAGCTGTGGCGTAGGGTTCTGACTCGGTCGCTCTGAGGCTCTCTTCGCTGGCAGACTCCAGCCTACGCCACGCTGCGCCGTCGTGCCGCCCCCCCCCCCCCCCCTCTGTGCACTACGTGGCTCTTGCGGCGGTTAGCTGCACCCCCCACGCGTGTCCACTCAGTCGGTGCGCAGCTGTCCTTCAGCTTCGTACCGCTGGTACACGTCAGGTGCAGCCTCAGCTGTGTCGCGTAGTGTTGCCAGTCCTGTCGGCTTGTGGCTCTTAGCGCTGGCGCGCTCCAGCCTATGCCGCACTGCACCGTGCAGCCCCCCCCCCCCCCCCCCCCCCCCCCCCCCCCCCCCCCCCCCCCCTTTTTTTCACTGCGTGACTCTTGCGGCGGTTAGCTGCCCCCCCCCCCCCCCCCCCCACGTGTGTTCTCACAGACGGTGTGCAGCTGCCCTTCTGTTACGTACTTCTTGCGGCGGTTAGCTGCGCCCCCCCTTCCACGCGCCCTGTCGCACTCTGTGGGCTGCAGTAGCCCTCCCACACCCGCGCGACACGTTGTTTTGGATTCTCGGCCAGCGTCTGCAGTCGGTGGTGGTTCCGTTGGCCGCGCGCCGAGTGGGTCAGCCTTCGGCGTCGTCGGCCTTCGTTTCCACTACGTGCAGCTGGCGTCCCAGGTTGGTACATAGTTGTCTGTCTGGGCAGTTGCTCGGAGCTTGGCGCCGCAAGGGCGACTTACTCCGCAGCTTGCACCTCTGTGCGCTAGGTACGTCCCAGTGAATGCTGAGCATGTAGCTCAGTGCGCGTGCATTGCACGCCTCGCGTGGACTTTGCTTGTTCCGCCGTCCCGGACACGCCTGTTGCCGCCAGACCATTGTCGCGCGGCCGCCGACCAAAAAAAGTAACCCCACAAGCCCATCCAGACGATGTTGAGATGAGTTGCCCAGATCAGGGCTGTTGAAGAGCATGCGGTAGAATAAAGGGCATAACTACCCAAGAGGGGGAGCATTGAGGAGGAACCGGGGGAGTAGGAGCAGAGCGCTATGGAGCCCTTTTTTAAACAATCTGGGCGATAACGCTCGTGGTCGCCCCCGCAGGCTTTTTCCCCACGTGTCTTAAGGAATCATCCAGGGTTTCCAGAGGATCTCAAGGGGTTCCCAGGAATTCGTCGTCGTCGCTGTTGTCCGCGACTGGGAGATGAAGGAGGAGGAGGAGGAGGAGGAGGAGGAGGAGGAGGAGGAGGAGGAACAGGAGGTGAAGGAGAAGGAGAAAACCCGATGGCTTCGAGGGTTTTTTTTCGAAGGATTTGCGCAGGGGATGTTTCGAGCGAGGCGCTGATTCTTAAGCGAAGCGCTTGGGCCATCTTGGAGGTCGTTCCGAGGTCGTTCCGACAAGATGTCTTACAAGAGCGCTTGGCGCATCCCATTGTTTCGAGAATGTCTCGGGCGAAACGCTCATGTTTGGAGGTTCGCGAATTACACCAGCGATTTCAACATCCCCATTGTCCGAGGATGTCTCAGGCGAAACGCCTACGTTTAGCAACGTACGTTTTAAGATACGACCCCCAACTTCACGATGTGGCGAGGATGTCTCACGCGACACGTTCGTTGATTCCAATATTTCCTGACATGAACGGGAAGCGCGTGAGAGGGAAGAGTTGCGCAATAACTTGCAGCACCATCGCGATCACATGTCATACAGGCGAGATCTCCGAACGCTCACAAGGGATACGTATGGATACGCGCCCCCCGAATGTTCACCAACATATTCCTGAGTATCCTCCCCACTCCTCCGCATGAGGAGGACAACGGCGAAGACGACGACCCGGGAAAAAAGGAGAGGGGGAGGAGGAGGAGGAGGAGGAGGAGGAGGAGGAGGAAGAAGAGGACGACGACAAGGACGAGGACGAGGACGAGGACGAGGACGAGGACGAGGACGAGGAGGAGGAGGAGGTGGAGGAGGAGGGGAGGGGAGGAGGAGAGGAGGAGGAGGAGGGAGGAGGAGGAGAGGAGGAGGAGGAGGAGGAGGAGGAGGAGGAGGAGGAGTTGGAGGAGGAGGAGGAGGAGGAGGACGAGGAGAAGGACCAGCAGCAGCTGCAGCAGCATCATCTCAAGATGTTCCCAGGAATTCCTCCTCGATCCCCTCCTCCTCCTCTGCTCCCTCTCCCTTTTCCTTATCTTCCTCCTCTCGAGACTGAAAGGGAATGTCAGAGCACGTAGCATGAGAGAGCGGCCGGCCGGCCAGCAAGTTGCAGTGTTCCGTCCCCTTCCCTCCCTCTCCCCCCGCGCGCGTCCACAGCCATTTTAGCTAGGCACGCGCGCCTCCATATCATACAGTACCGTGCATTCACATGCCATGGATAAACGTGTTATCGTTGTCATCCTATTCATCGTCCACGTCTTCATCGACGTCTTCTTGTGCCAGTTGGCCGCCCTACCAGCTGGCTTTCCAGCTGGTAGCGGAGCCGTCTCGATGACGGACCGCCGGGCTGAGCCCAATGCACGTCTTGCTCGCGGGATGCGACAAGGCGTAACCGCAGAACCAGTCTCACACCGCAGTCGCTGGATACGACGCGGCCCAGCACGCCATGCTCGCGAGACGCGACGTGACGTAACCGCAGAACCACCACACCAGGCTCGCGAGATGCGACTTGGGGCCACTACGGCCACATCTACCACGACACTATCGAGTACACCTGCCGCGGCACAGGTTTCGACAACAACGGCAACTACAGCAAGTACCAGAATTACCACTACAACAACTACCAGTGGAACGATTCCAGGTGCGAGCAGGTACTTGGGAGAGACTGGGGTCGGTACCCAGCCTCATCTTACCTCTCCAGCAGGCGTTGGGATCGGTACCCAACCGCCTAAGGATCTGGTGGGCTCTGGGGTCGGAGCCCAGACAATCCAAACGCCACAAACTACTGGGGTCGGAACCCAGACCGAGCACAACAGTGAGTCCGGGGTCGGTACCCGGCGCAACATCATCCATTATTTTTGTCGACCACCTTCTGATGATCAATTTTGTGGTGCTGTTCTTCATGTTTGCCTCCATTGTTGCGTACATGTACAACGACATGCGGGAAAGCAGGGGCCCACCAATCTGGGGCCCACACATGCAAGACAGGTACCCATTTCGTGATTGGACGCGCGACGTGATGCTTTGGAGCATTCGGGAAGACATGCCCGAGGCTCGCAAGGCAGCGTGGGTTGCAACGAATCCACGCGGAGGCGCGAAGAACCTGATGAACACCATGCCGCCGCAGGCCTTCATACACGGTGGGCAAATCAATGGCGTACAAGTTGGTGCAATGACGTTTGTGTTGCATTCATTGTCAGAGCGGTACGGCCCACTAGGAGAAGAAACGCGGATGAAGGCCAGCAAGGCCCTCCTCCGATTCCAAGCCGAGCCTCGGGAGAAAATCGACGATTTGCTAACGAGATTCGACATCGTACGACACCGCGCTGAACACGAAGGGGGTCTCGGGATCAACATCCAGACGACCGCCGAGATCTTGTTGCAGGCGTGCATGTTGAGCGAAGAGCAGTTGTTGCGTCTCTTGGAACCCACCAACGGCCTGACACCGTCCACAGAGCAACAATACGTTGAACTTTGCACTCGTTTACGTCGCATGGGTCATATCGTGGAGGGATCTCCTGATAATATTGTTTCCCAGCTCCGGAATGACAGGGGGCGCTCGCACACGTATTTTGGAGCACAAGGCGCCAACCCTCCACGAGCGCAGCACGAACAACAAGATGAACCGAACATGACTTACATGATGAATGGGTCCGCGTACCAGGAGCAAGATCCGTTCACGCTCACAGAACACACGTACTACGGCGACGGCAACGACGACGAACTGGACAGCGGCACGGATTCGGACACGGTAAGTAGTTTGGGTGACACTCCACACCCTGAACCTACCGGCCCTCCAGAACGCCATGGACAAGACATCTTTTGGGCCTACCAAATGGCCAAATCCAGGTGGCGCCAGTACGCCGGCAAAGCCACCAGAAGAGTGCGCCGTTTCGTTAGGAAGAAAGGAAAAGGGAAGGGCAAAGGAAAACTGCCAAACCATGGCAAGACGTCTGTAAACGCATTTCTCGCCAATGCCCATCATGCGGGCAATCTCGGCAGCATCTTCTTGAGCAAGGGCAAAGGCAAGGGGAACCACTCAAAAAGCAGCGGTCTCGGTTTCGGCCGCCGCAAGAACCCAAAAGACCGCAATGGAGTGACCATGAAGTGCCATGGATGCGGCAGCGACGAACACTTAGTCAAGGACTGCCCGCGCCAGTCTTCCCCGACGTTGTTGACAGGACCGCCACAACGGAGTGACGGCGCCGTGGGCTACGGCGGCAGCAGCGGCAGCGGGGCGAACAACTGGTACGGTTTGGTTGAGGGATCGGTACCCTCTCCACCTCCACCCGTCGACTTCGAAAACGGCCCGTTGGCAGGCCTCATCCCTGAGGTCAGCAGTGCAGCAACCCACGTGTTGATGATCGGACCTGCGACGACCCCGCAGGGCTCGGACCAGTCAGAAGGCTACGAGTCGGCAACTTCGCAACAAGGCTTCGCAGGCAGCCCTGGGGCAGCGTCTGCCAGCGCTGCTGCTCCAGCTGCGCGCCCAGGGCCGCGCGCGCAACCCGTCCAGGCACCGAACATCGTCCGAGCAGGCGACCTCTCGTATGCCGTGATCCCAGGCGCACGGGTCGTCCAGACGATCCCTGCCGCTCCACAGGTCGATCTGCCCAGCTTCACACAGCACGAGTCCTTCTCCTACTTGCTCGCCGGCGAAGGGAGGCCTTTCCAGGCCAGCGATCAGCTTACTCCTCTCTGGAGCGGCGCCACTGGTGGATTCGCACCCTCAACCTTGGACCCTGGACAACGCGAGGCCACCGTTCACCAGCACGAGGTGGAGACTTGGATGGCCACGCCAGAGTGGGAACGCCCAGCCCCCGCAGTTGGCCTCGCCGCAGCGCCGATGCGGAACATGAGCGATGAGCAGGAGCAGATGCTGAGCAGCTTGAGGATGGTGCAGGAGTACGCTGAGGAGCAGAGGAGGATCAAGGAGATGAAGGGTAGGAGGAGGCCCCCACGCCCAACTGACCCGCTACCAGACATGCCGGCAGAGTTGGCATCGATGCAGGATAATTTGCGAGCTCGCCAGTCCCTCGGCCAGGACTACCTTGGTGATAACTCGCAGTGCTCTTTCTGCTTGATGGATTTTGGGCACGGGGAGGTCGTGACTCGTCTTACTTGCAGGCACCTTCCACAGCGAGTGTTTGCAGGACTATGCTGCCGACGGCCAGCGTCGCACGCAAGAGGCGCGCAGGAATGGCGTGGAACCACCAAATCCCGAATGCCCGAACTGCCGCGGATCAGCCAGGATTGCATCCAGGTTCAGGTTCATCTGCCCACAGGAGTCCACTACCTCAGCAGCCTCATCGGGGCCAGCTCCACGACCAGGCGGAGCAGCTCCGACATTGCCATGGACGCCAGCCGGGGACGTCCCACAGCCACGAGGATACTATCATGCCAAGACCGCGTTGGCGAACGGAGCGCCTGCGCTCCTCGTAGACATCGGCGCATGGACGAACGTCGGAGGCGCCGATCGTGGCCGCGAGGCGGCTCAAGCAGCCCTCAACGCAGGATACGAGCCGAAACAAACTAAATTGGACTGCCCCCTGGAGATTCAAGGTGTCGGCCACGGCACGCAGAAGGGCGAGTACAAGGCCACCGTCCCCGTAGCGCTCATGACGGAAGATGGCAGCGCCACGATGTTCAATTACGAGGTGCCCCTCATCGACAAGAGCCCCAAGAACGGCATGGGCCACCAGCTCCCATTGATTGTAGGCCTCAGGTCGTTGAAGGACAAGCGTGCTGTCCTTGAGCTCGAGGACGGCAAGGCGATGATGACCTTTCCGGGCCCTGGGGGCTATACTATCCAGTGGAGCCCCGGCACGGTGAGGATCCCTATGGAGCAGGGGCTGTCTGGACATTTGATGGTAGGTTGCTCACATTACGATAAACTTCCCAAAGCAAAGGGCGGCGTCGAGACGGCCGTCCCCACGCTGCACGTCGTACCAGGACAGGAACAGACAGCAACAACACCACCAGCACCTCGGCGGGATCGGCCCCCGCAGAGTACAACCCAGCACCATTGACTAGGGACAGGCGGCAAGACGCCCTCAAAGGCCGCTTGTTCGCAGACAGAGGGCACAGGCAATCCGCCTACAACTGGCGGTGGCAACCTTGACGCCATCAGTTGGACTATTGTTATTGAGACGGAATGTGGTATCAGTACTGTGCTCACTTCTTTGGGCTACCGCGTGCAACGTCACAGCCACATGACCGTCAACACAGGCAGTACTGGCGACATTTCCAGCATGATCAAGCGTAACAAGATCAACGTCTTCATTTCGCTATACCCAATTTTGGGATTCAACGTACCTCAGCACAAATGGCATTCCCACATCACACAGTTGCTGAATTGGGCTAGGCTGTGCAAGCAAAATGCTGTACGGTACCTCATCTTGGGCTTCCAGGGCAGAAAGTGGGACGACCCTCAAATCCAGAGCGCTATCGCGGATGGGACGTTGCAGTGTTCTTACCACAGGCTTTGTTACATGGGTATCAAGGTCGATCCTGGTGCAACGCGTCCAAGCCGTACTTGTGTTCGCGTTGCTTCCACCATGCATTTACCAAGCCACTCATGTATATGCACCGTCAAGCAAAACGAACATACGAACGGCATCATGACGAAGGCGTCTAGCACTATGTCTCGGCACAAAACCATTGCATTAGTCAGTGCAGCGAAATACATCCTCGAGAAGATGCTCAACAGGCAGGGTACCTGCGCTGGCTCTTCCCCTCCCGACTCTGCACCTCCATCTTCAACTCGATTTCCGATGCGCTCTCAATATTATGGAGCGCCCGACTGTGAAGCAGAACCAGCTAGGAAATCCAGTGGTGCAGCGTACCTTCCTTCATCAGTTTCTCTTCTATCATCTTGGCCTCCACCGCCCGCGCACGCGTGCCCCACAGAGGAGCGCGTCAGACAGAAAGCACGACTACAAGCAATGAAAGAACGCGGAGAAACACCAAACACACGAAAATTCACCATCGAAGCGCACTACGACGACTGCGGCGAAGACCTCCGTGGTCTCGGCGCTGACTATGCCGCCCTGGGAGCGGATTACGTGGTCGAGCTCTGCGACTATGGCGGCAGCTCTTATTCTACGACGGTGGATTGGCACCACCTTGGCAGTGCGCCATCAAAATCCTCCTCATCCCCTTCTTCATCATCATCTTCACCGCCATCGCACCTGCACGCGCACGACAGTCTACACGTCAGCAAATCGTACGCTACGACGGTGGATTGGCACCACCTTGGCAGTGCGCCATCAACATCCTCCTCATCCCCTTCTTCATCATCATCTTCACCGCCATCGCACCTGCACGCGCACGACAGTCTACACGTCAGCAAATCGTACGCTACGACGGTGGATCGGCACCACCCTGGTTACACGCAGCGCGTTACGACGGTGGATCGGTACCACCCTGGCGACGAACAGCATGTTACGACGGCGGATCGGTACCGCCACAGCCGGGTGGACGCCGGCGTGTCGCACCTAGTTGCGGCGACGCACGTTACGACGGCGGATCGGCGCTGCCACAGCCGGGTGGACGCCGGCGTGTCGCACGCAGTTGCTGCGACGTATTCGACCTACGACGCAGACGACCTCTTCGAGGCGCATGCGGAATCCGCATCGTTAGCGCTGTGGTTCCTGAAGGGGCCCGAGGGGGAAGCGACGGACTTTCAGCATCCCCGTCCAAACCTCCGAGTATGCAGTAGTTTCGAGGAGTTCGTATTCTTGTCCCTTCAACATGATGACCGGGACGACCTAGTAGAATTTTGTGGAGGTCAGGCGCGTGTCTCTGCAGTTTGTGCCCGCAGACGCCTTCCTTCAGGTGAGTTGTTCGACGTGCTGACGGGGGTGGAGCTGGATTGCGCCAAGGACCAGGAGCTTGCCATGCAGTACTTGCGTGAGCGACGCCCCATTGTCGCGATCATCAGCTCATGCTGGCACGCTTCTTCTACGGCATCCACTTCACATGGTATATTATGTGGCCACGTTGCGTTACACCAGCTTCAACGACGACAAACGCACGACGACGACAGTTCGTTCTTGATTGGGCAGCCTGGCACCACCACATTGTACGACGAGCTACCTTGGCCAACAGTGTTGGCTGACGCATCCGTTAACACGTTTCTCATTCACCATAGTGTTACAGGAGCAGTGGGACAGTCTGAATTGCCCGTCCAGAAGATCCAGAAGATTACTAAGATGACGTCCAACGAGGTTTTGTTTCTACGCCCTCTGGTATCTTTTCAATGCGACGGGGAACGCGAGCACGACACGCCCACAGGAGAATTCAACACGGAGGGGCCAGAGCTGCACCCGCACAAGCGGAACCAACACCACAACCCCACGGTTAAGACACCGCGCAACCATCGACTATGGCCGTGGACCCTGGCCAGCACCATCAGCGATGCCATTGTATTGGTGGTGCGGCGAGCGAGGCAGAGGTCCGCAGGCACACGCCATCACTTCGAACATACGTTTCCAGCATCTTCGGCGGAAGCGGCAGGCTACTGCCCTGGTTGCAGGGGCAATCGTGTTAAGACGGATCCGAAGCACAACCGAGTACCTGGTCAATGCCGCTTTCCCGAAGTGGCAACTAAGGAGTACAGTTGTTTAGGATGCAAGCAGAGGCAACCCTTTGAGCACAGCAACCACACGTACATGCCTGGAGAGTGCAGATACGGCCCTGGGGAAGACTTGGAAGGCGCAGACCGACGTTTCCTGGGCCATCGTCGTCAAGGCGCGGCACCCCGGGAGCCATCTGCCAGGCCAGCCTCGAGTCCAGTTGCCGACGCTCAGCCGCAGCTGGCCGACGGCACCGACCTCGCAGCAGACGACGAACAACAAGCTCGCAACACAGAGGCCATGAGCAGGGAGGACAGAGTGCCAGATGCAGGATCGGCCCCTGCGCTGGCCCCATCGGGATCGGCACCCGCATCGTCCTCAGCGGGATCGGCACCCGCAGCCGCACCAGAATCTGGACTGGCCCGAGCGGGATCTGAACCCGCTGACGTCAGACGAGCACGAGACGTCCCTCGACCACCACAGCACCAAAGAGCACGGTACCCAGAGCAAGCCGACGGCCCAGAGAGGCCACGCGATTGGACTCGATTCGACATTGGATCCAGCCTGGCCGTGTTACGGCACGGCTCCCACGCAGCATGCCTTAGGGAGTTACGTAAACTACATATGCGGTGGTGGCATATTAAACAAAAGCCTTTCCACGACATATTGGCGGCAGTTGGGTTACCACAGAAAATCTTAGACATGAGCGCCGATGTCGTTAAGACGTGCCGAGAGTGCCGCCAGTGGGAGGAGCCCGGCGACGCTACGCAGACAACGAGTTTTCTTGCAGATCGTTTTAACCAGCGCGTTGAGAGCGACATCTTTTTCGTCCTCCAGTTCATGATTTACCATTTGGTTGATAAATGTTGTAGGTTTCATGCAGGTGAGGTTGTGGACGACAAGACTGAAGCCACCTTGCTATCAGCACTTTGGACAGCATGGATTGGCATCCACGGCCCCATGGAGCAACTTGTTATTGACGGGGAGGGTGGTCTCAACAGCGACCGGGCCAAGGCCACGCTCAAGGCTGAGGGCATTGAGTTAATCACCAGAGCTCCTGGGCAGCATGCCCACACAGCAGAACGATCTGGCCAGATGCTCCGGCTCGTGATCCATATGATTGTGGAGCAGATGGTCAAGGAGGGCATCACCTTACCCATTAAGATCGTTGTGAGCCAGGCGTTTTTCGTCATGAACGCCATTTACGGCAAGAACGGCTGCACCTCTTACCAGTGCGTTTACGGCCGGCAGCCTCCTATGCTACCTCCGATCCCTGGCACGGGATCCACCGACAGCGCCGACGGACGCCAGGAACAGCGAGTCCGACAGATCGCGATCAACTCGTTCGTGCAGGCTTCCGCCTTGTCTCAGACGAGACGTGCTCTGTCTGGCAAGTCAAGCAGCAGTGGGCAGGGCATGTACCAGCCAGGTGATTATGTAGACTATTACCGGCGGAGTGCCGACAAGGATACGTCTGGCTGGAGAGGCCCAGTTAAAGTCGTAGAGAACCAGCCTAACAAAGGAGGAGTAGTATGTCGTATCAACAACAGAGACCAGCCGTGTAGGTATCAGGACGTGCGCCACACTCTACACCTTATCTTCCTCACGCAGCTGGTGCACTTCAGCGACAAGGAAGACCACGTGCGATCGAAGATGCTTGCCATCGTGCTCACCCACGCCGAGGCCCTCCGGGGCACCCAGAAAACTTGTTGAAGCTGTCTTCGACACGCAAACGTCACGATGGACTTCCTCATCGGCCTTGCGACAGGACCGACGTCTCGCAGCTGCTTTGCATTACGTCGTTACGAACTTGTTTTGCTTAGAGCACGTCATGGCCGTCAGGTTGTCACAAGGAGTGCAACGATTGTCGAAGTTAAAAGGTGCAGATTTTTGTTACCTCTACGTTTGGTTACCTGGCGAGTTCGCGAATGTACACATCATTGAGCACGATAACGACAGGATCAACCTTCATCACATCATCGGCGACTCTTGGAAAGACTTCGTGTGCATCCAAGTTTTTCTTCACTGTGAAGGCGGGTGCTCTTTGGGACATGCTTTAAACGGTACGGTTACTGACGATTTGTTCCCTCGTGGCCCTCAGCACGACAGGAATCGCGAGCACTCTCGCGAGGAAGCGGGATCGGCGCCCGCATGGCGGATCGGTACCGCCACGGCCGGGTGGACGCCGGCGTGTCGCACGACAGCGCTCGAGGTGATCCCCGAGGGCGACAGCGAGTCCGACACCACCACAGAGACTGAAGCACTTGCGGTACTCCACGCTCATTTCGAGACCAACTCAGATGGAAAGTACGATGATTCGTTACGTGAGGCTGCGCTTTACATCTACATGTATGGCGAGAGCGACCCATCGACATCGTCATCGTTATCATCATCGTCATGTGTAGCAGCATCCATGAATAGTTGCGTGATGGATGATCTTATTCATGCTCATTCTGCGCATGTGCACCCAGCGTACTTCTTGCAAGAGGACGTCAGCACATACCAACACTACCTGACAGCAGGCTTGCCCGTGAGCGCATACATGACAGACACACGTATCGATCGTAGTGGTAATCTGGGTGTCGAGATGTATTTGTCGAAGGAGTTGTCCAAGCTTTCCGTAGACCACCCGTTCCGAGATGATGAGTTCGTTTCGATTCTGATCTACGTCGCCGGCCCATCGCGGAAGGCAGTGGTTACCGATCAGGACGTCTTGACGAAGGACGAGCTCAAGAAGTACCACAAGGAGGTGCGAGCAGCCATCTTGGAGGAACTCAAGATATGGATATCTTACAAAGCTTTCGAACGTGCTCGGAGGACTCATGGTGGTCAAGTTGTTATGTCCAGTAGGTTTGTTGCCAAGTGGAAGTGGGTGCAGAAGGATGACGGCTCTTGGACGCGAATCATCAGGGTGAGGCTTTGCTTACGAGGCTTTGAAGATTACTTTGCGTACGAGCGAGAGAACTATTTTGGCACCGCTTCGCGGCAGTCCCAGCGCCTCATCAACAGTGAGACCGCGTGCAGGCCCACGTGGGTACTCGCCACGATAGACATTGAGAATGCGTTTTTGCAGGGGTTGACCACGGCGGAGGTTGCAGCATGCACCGGCGAGGAGCAGGAGGTGACCTACTTCACCTTGCCGCCTGGGGCTGCGGCTGTTCTCCGGCTCATCCCCGGATTCGAGACATTCGACGAGCATGCCGAAGTTTTTCTGGCCCTGAAGGCCGCAACTGGCACCAAGGGGGCCCCGCGTGCCTTCAGTCTCAAGCTCGCTGGGGTCACTAGGAGCCCACCTTTGAACTTGAAGCCTATCTCCAGAGACCCCGAGCTCGAGGTGGGGCACAATTCTGACGGTGAGCTCCACATCATGTGCGGCAAGCACGTGGACGACCTCAAGGTCGGAGGTGAGAGCCATATGGTGCAGAAGTTGCGTTCTTCCCTGGAGGCAGTGTTCGGCAAGCTCAAGTTTAGCCTCAAGACGTTTACCAACGTCGGTATCCGACACGTGCAACGTGACGACGGCACCGTCGAGACCGACCAGACCGAGTACGTGAACGCCATCCAGACCATCCCGCCTGAAGTTTACAGCGGGAAGCGTGGCGACGAGAAGTGCACTGAGCAGCAGATGTCTATGCTGTGGTTTTTGGTCGGTGCTCTTGGTTACGCTATGATTACTCAACTTCACATGCTTGTTTACGTAGTTTCTTTACAGAGACAGCAGCGTGATGCTTCGATTATTCATTTGCGTCGTGCCAACGCTCTTGTTCGTCATATGCAGCGGTACCCCCGGACGTTGCGATATAGAGCTATGCAGTGCAGCCGACAGCTGCAGGCATTCTCAGATAGTGGTTTCCGCAAGGAGGAGGACAAGGGTTACGGCATGAGGGGCGCGAATTTCCTCCGCGTTGGTGTTGACCCTTCTGGTGCACAAGTGTGTCATTTGATCGACGCCCAGTGCCGTAGCCATCGGCGCGTCACGCGGAACACGTTCAGCAGCGAGCTGTTTGCTGGTTGCGACGCCGTCGACGATCTCATGAGCCACGCTCTTGCTTTGCACGAGATCATCCAGGGACCCCAATCGAAGCAACATACTTTGACAATGTTTGAGAATGGACGCCAGATTTTCGATACCATTTTGGTGATCGATGCCATGTCTGTCTTCCAGGCGGCGTCCGCGATCGCCATCAAGGAGCCTGCTGAGAAGGGCTTGCTGCCGCACCTGCAGTACCTGAGGGAGAAGTTGGACATGAAGCAACTGGGCGTGCTCCGGTGGGCAGACACCCGCGACATGAACAGCGATGGCCACACCAAGGGATGCATACCCAGAGATGCAATTGTCTTGTCTATGGATGGTTACTTCAAGTACGACCACGAGTACAAGGACTTCGTCCCGAAGGTCCCGAACCAGCGGGACGCTCAGAGGCAGCAGCAGCAGGTTCGACAGCAGAAGACAGTTCATTTGGCCAAGTCTTACCACGATCCGACTACTGGTGGGGATGGGAACCACCCGTATGCTCACGGGAGCAGGGGGAGCAGTTCTTCGTCTTCGACGGTACCGCGCCGGCACTGGAGGCGAGCGACGCCAGCCAGCCTCGACAAAACGACTGCCGAGGCGGACCACAGCAGGCTTGAGCGTGATGAGCGTACAACGTCACCGCCTGGCCGCCGAGCCTCCCAGAGCCGACGGCGAACAGCGCCACGGAGCCGCAGCATCTCTCGTGCCCCTCTCCGGCCTCTTTCGGTACGGACCGCGCCGGCACGGAACCGCAGCATTTCTCGGAGAGTGCATCGTGCTCCTCTGCAGCCTCTTCCGGCACGGATCGCGACGAGGAGCCGCAGTGTCAGGCGAGCATCGGCACGGAGTCGCAGTATTCCTCGTGCTTCTCTCTGGCCTCCAGCGGCACGGACGTCGACGCGGAGCAGGAGCATCCAGCGTCAAATGCGTCACGGGGACCAGGCGGACCAATCGTGCCCCCCCAGGAGCCGGACGCAACCTGGAGACACGGAGGCCTGGCGAGGTATCTTCGAGGACACGTATCGGAAGTACTGCCCAGACAAGCTCAAGGACATTGAGTTCTTGTTGCAGAAATACCACGGTCACGAGAAGGAGTGCCACCAGCGTATTCTCGTCAAGTACGCTGGGGAGACACGCGGCACCAAGCCGAACCACGAGTTGAAAGACAACCAGTGCAGGATCTGTCATGGGTACGGACACTGGGGACACGAGTGCCCAACTCGCAAGGCCAGCGTAGGCACGACGGCAAAGGCCAAGGCCAGACCACCGTGGTATCAGGGCAGATGATTGCGAACTTTGACTTGATTTTTTTTGTCCAGGGCGCCATCCACGAGGCGAATCTGCAGACAGGTGCGCGGAAGACACTTCACGCGACTTCTCCTTCCCCGACTGAAAGGGAATGTCAGCGCACGTAGCATGAGAGAGCGGCCGGCCGGCCAGCAAGTTGCAGTGCTCCGTCCCCTTCCCTCCCTCTCCCCCCGCGCGCGTCCACAGCCATTTTAGCTAGGCACGCGCGCCTCCATATCATACAGTACCGTGCATTCACATGCCATGGATAAACGTGTTATCGTTGTCATCCTATTCATCGTCCACGTTTTCATCGACGTCTTCTTGTGCCAGTTGGCCGCCCTACCAGCTGGCTTTCCAGCTCGAGGGCCGGGGGGTTCGAAAAAGGCCCCGGGAGGCCGAAACCCGCCGTGATGTGATCGGCTCCCCCCCCCCCGATCACGGAGGAGTAGGAGGAGGAGAAGGAGGAGGAGTAGGAGGAGGATCAGGCTCATGAGGAGGAGGAGGAGGAGGAGGAGGAGGAGGAGGAGGACCAGTGCAAACCCAAGACTCATCAACGATATTGGAACAAACCCTCCCTCCAATCTACCTCTCCTACAAGGAGTCATTTCCACTGAGGGAAGGGCCCCCTTGGGAGGCAACCGTTTGAAGATCCTAAAGCGTGCCAAGAGACCATCCTCGGGACTCCGACGCCACGAATCAATTTCACTGTTGCGTCTTGACGGTCACGAACCGTGCCAGAACGCCATTCCTGGGACTTCAACACAGCGAATCAATGCAACTCTTGCGCCCCCGCAATCCTGAATTGCTCCAACACGTAATTTATGATACGTTACCAATGCGTCACTTCTGATACGTTAGCAATGGGAATATGCTAAATTGTTGCAGATGTTTAAGGCGGATGCGGGCGGCCCTAAAGCGAGAGCCACAGTTTGAAAAGGAACCGCCCTCAATCCGTGAAGCCCTCGCAAATGTTATGACGAAAGTGTGCGGCGCTACGGCGAGAGCAACATTTTGAAAACGACCCGCCCTCAACCCGTGAATTTCTTGCAGTGTTTAAGAACAGATGCGCGCGGCGCTAATTAAGGCGAGAGCCATATTTTGAAACCCACCCGCCCTCAATCCGTGAAGCTCTTGCAATGCGATGCCTTAAGACGAATGTTCGTGGCGCTCAGGCGGGAGCCACGTTTTGAAAGCCACCCGATTTCAATCCGTGAAACCCTCGCGCCGTTGTCAAACGAGTGTGCGCGGCGCTAAGGCGAGACCCACATGTTGGAAGCGGCCCGCCCTCCATGTGTGAAATTGCTGCCACGCTCTTAGCTTCAGACCATACATGGCAAGGAAGTCTCAGGCGAGACGCCCGGCCAGCCCTTCCGACTGGCTTCGGGGTGCGACAGGGAAGAATCCTTTAGAAGGACAAGAATGCAGCAGGGCGAGAAGAGGGGGGGAAAGGAGGAGGACTAGGCGGATGAGAAGGAGGAGGCGGAGATGGAGCGGCAGGAGGATGGCGAGCAGAAAAGCCAGAGGCCTCTTGGATGCCTTTTGGAGCGTCTTGGGGGACTCTTGGCAGTCCTGGGGGCCTCCTGAGGCGTCTTGGGCGCCTCTGGGGGGCCTCTTGGGGGTCTCTGGGGGGCCTCTTGGGGGCATCTTGGGGGCCTCTCGGGGGCCTCTTGGGGCCTCCTGGCTTTTGGGGCCGTATTGGGGCACCCTGTGGAGCCTCGGGTGCCACCTTGGGGCCATCTTGGAGGAGGTCGATCAATTGAGGGGAGCTCTCCAATTTGGGACCCTCCCCCAGGAGGCCAAACTGTGACCAAAGTGTAAGTCAAGACCTTCTCGCCGAGGCCCCTTGGGGCGTCTTGGATGCCTCTGGGGGGCCTCTTGGGGCCTCTTGGGGATCTTTTGGGAGCCTCTTTTGGGGACAGATTGGGAGTCTCTTGGGGACATCTTGGGGCCTCCTGGGCACCTATTGGTACCGTCTTGGGGCACCTTTGTGAGCCTCGGGGGCCATCTTGGGGCCATCTTGGAGGAGATCGATCAAAGGAGCGGGGCTCCTTAATTAGGCCCTCTCCACCAGGATGCCAAAATGTGGCCAGCAACTTCCTAGCATCAGTGCTTTTGGCATTCTCGCCAAGGCCTCTTGGGGCGTCTTGGGTGCCACTGAGAGGTCTCTTGGGCCTCTTGGGGGTATCTTGGAGCCTCTTGGGGGTCTCTTGGGGCCTCCTGGGCACCGACTGGTGTCGTCCTGGGGCACCCTGGGGTCGGTGCCACCTTGGGGCCATCTTGGAGGAGATCTATCAAAGGAGGGGGGGTCCCCAATAAGGGTCCCCCCCAGGAGGCCAAAGTATGGCCAAAACCTGAGTGGTAAACTCACTGATTATGCCCTTCTCGCCGAGGCCATCATGGACGCCCCAACCCCTCGCGAAGCACCCCCTCCAATCCCAGGGGGTTGGGGGAAGGGGAAGTAGGGGGGTTGGAAGAAGAAACTCCCTAAACCACTCACGCTACAGAAAGGGCTGGTGGGATTCCGACGATCCGATGTTGCCCCGTCCTGCATGGCGTTACTGTGCATATTGGCGAATCCGATTCGATTTCGATTCCGATCCCGTGTCGATGCAGCTTGATCCAACGCGTAGCGCATTCCGATTCGACCCGGTTTCCCGATTCGGTGTGGATCGATCCGGTTTCTTCTCCGTGATCCTGACGCGCGAGAGTTCCAGGGGGCGTCAGGGAACATTGAATGAAAAAACGCATGTGGAACCCGTATCCCCCCAAACCCGAAATTTGGGTCTTCGGGTTGGGTTGGGGCTGGTAGGTATTCAAAGATGGGGCTCTGAGGGAAAGGGCTCCTGGCTGAATCTGCGCTGCTCAAGACCTCGCCCCCGGGCCCCACATCTCTCGAAGAAGAAGAAACTACATTAACATGACTTTTTGGAGCTGCGCGCGGAATTCTTGAATCTTCGCCGGGCCCCCCTGGCGACACCTCTGGCGCCGCCCATGGCGCGCTCCGCGCGCCAGGGAGGGGATCCAGCGCAGATCCAGAAAGAGAGTTTACGTTTATGCAGTGTGTTCTTCCTCTAGCTTCATGGCCCCGTACCTCTGCAGCTCCGACGCGTGACCCCGCCCGCGCAGCCGCCGATTCAGAGCCGCCTACGATCCGATGCAATGCGACTCGATTCGCCCGCTGGGACCGCGATCTCGATTCGGTTCGATTCTCCGGCATCGGCTGGGGCCAGCCAGAGCGGGGCGCAGCAATTCGGTGTCGATTCGATTCGGAACGATTCGTTGTGGCGATCCGATCCATCTCCGATGCGATTCGATCCAGCGCGGGCTTGCCTATGCTCTTTCTACTTGCTACCCCTCCAGCACTTGCTGTTGCTGCACTTCCGCCTCCCCCCCCCACCTGAGCCTGGCGCTCTCGCCCCCGCTTTCCCTCCGTCTCCCTCCGTCCTCCCCCGCCGTCCTTGTCAATGTCAGGCCCCTTCTTGTCTCCCCTCCTTCTCCACCTCCTCCTCCTCCTCCTCCTCCTCCTCCTCCTCCTCCTCCTCCTCCTCCTCCTCTGTCTCTCCTCCTCTGTCTCTGCGTCTCCCTCTGCACTCTCATGTTCCCTTCTTCCTCCTCCACCTCCTCATCCTCCCCCTCCCACTCATATTCCCTCCTCCCCCCCGCTCCTCTCTCAACACTCTCATTGCCCCGAACTTGGGTGCACACCACGATGGACGCGTGCGATCACCGCGCCGTACTTCCCATTGCGTTGGCAACATGAAGCTGGGCTCCCCATCGGGGTCAGGGCGCCCCAGAGCCATAATTTCAAGCCCTCTGCAAGCCCTATTCCCCCGTCGTCGTCGTCGTCGTCGTCGTCGTCGTCGTCGTCGTCGTCGTCGTCGTCGTCAGTCTCGTCCTCGTGGTCGTCGTCGTCGTCCTCGTCGTCGTCATCGTCCTCGCATCATCGCCAGCCGCGGGGTCCGCCCCGTCGAGGCGATCTGCGCACTGGGCGGGGAGTGCAGCTGAGCCGCGGCGGCGGGCCTGCACCTGCAAGGCCGGTCCCGGGCTTCGGCAGGCGCCCATCTTCCCCCGCGGTGCCGACAGCGAAAACAGAGCAGGCATACCAGCGAGGCGTACCAGAGAAGGGAAGGGGAGGGAAGGGAGGAGGGATTGAGGAGGGATGGTGCGGGAGGAAGGACGAGGACGATGACGAGAAGGAATAATGAGGGGGGGAGGAGAGGAGGAGGAGGAGGAGGAGGAGGAGGAGGAGGAGGAGGAGGAGAATCGAGGACGAAGCAGCACGAGCAATAACTGGAGGCGGAAGGGGAGGAGGAGCAGCAGGAGGAGCAGGAGTTGGCATGTCGGATCAAGGAGTCGTGCGTCCATTGGCGTTTTGGCGTGCGCTGCATTGAACGTGGATTTGCATGTTACGAAATCGCGTGTTCACCTTGATCGAATCGAGATAGAATGGGCAGTTTCGGAGCTCCTGCGCGTTCACCCCTTACCGTCCTCCGCCAACGTCCATTTCTCCTCGCTCGTCCATCGCCTCCACCCAATCCCCCTATCCTCCCCATCTTTCCCACCTCATTGTTCCTCCCATCAATCCTCCTTCCTTCTCGTTCCTCCCTGTCGCACCGCCAGACGTGTCGATGGGGCAGAGGGGGCGGTTGGCCACGGCCTTGGAGTTTGAAGTTTCCGTCAGTTGCATAGGTGTTTCAAAACGTGGCTCTTGCCTTGGCGCCGCGCGCACCCGTCTTCAAATCTGTTTGCAGCTATGTGGATGGGACGGCGAATCTTTTACTAAATGGGTCTCCCGCTTTGGCGCTGCGCACACCCGTCTTCAAATGCTCCAGAAGATACGCGGATGGACGGCGAACAGTTTTCAAAATGAGTTTTTCGCGTTGGCGTTGCAATTGGCATTAACAACAACAGAAGATGCGGATTGAGGGCGGGTCGTTCGCACCGTAGGGTGCAGGCTGTGGCGCCGGGCACGCGCGCTTTGAGATATGCCAAAACCT